ATATATATATATATATATAGTGAAAGGTTCAAGGGATGAAATTGGTCTTCAAATTACTATTGTATTAAAGATGATCCAAAACTTTGCAATAGGCCATGGAGTGTCGAGATGCTGACTTTTAGAATGAAGCAATTGATGATGATATGTCATTGATTCTTAAGAATAATACTTGTATGTTATCGTATTTGCCTCCGGGTTCTATACCACTTGGTTGCAAATGTTTTTTCAAAAAAAAAATAAAATGAATGTTTATGGAACAATTGATAAGTTTAAGGCTTGGTTGGTCATTTTAGGTTTTAGACAAACACCGGTGTTAGCTATTTTGACATGTATACTCCGGTAGCATGTATTTCTACTACTAGATTATTGTTCGCCCTTGAGAGTATTCATAATATGATTATTACTCAAATGGATGTTAAAATGGTTTTTTAAATTGTGATCCTGATGAAGAAGTTTACACGAAACAATCGAAAGGTTTTGTTATCCCGGTAATGAGCATAGGTGTGTAAACTTGCTAAATCTTTGTATGGGATGAAACAAGCACCCAAAAATGGCATAACAAGTGTGATGAGATTATTTTGTCTTGTGGTTTTTACCTTAAACCAATGTAACATATATGTTTTTATAGTAGATTTGATATTGCTACTGGTGCATGAGTGATCACCTGCTTGTATGTTTACAACATGTTGATTTTTAGGACTAATCAAAATCAAGTACATGAAACTAAGCAATTGTCGTCATCTAAGTTTTCAATAAAAGACATGGGATACGTTGTTGTAATCCTTGGAATAAGGACTAAATGGGTTAACAAAGGTATTTTAATGACACCAAGTCATTATGTTGAGAAAATTCTCAAAAGGTTTAGTTTTAGTGACTGTTCTCCCCTTAACACTCCTATGAATCCTAGTGTGAAATTGTTGCCAAATCCGGGCATTCCTATTTCACAATTTGAGTACTCTAAGGCGATTAATATCTTGATGTATGCCATGACAAGTACCAAGCTTGATATTGATTATGCTTTGGGACGGTTGAGTATGTATATCAGTAATCCTAGTGCTCAACATTAAGAAACAATTCATAGAGTGTTTAAGTATCTTAGAGGAACCATGAGTTATGGTTTGAGTTACGTGGGATATCCTTCAGTTTTAAAAAGGCTATTCAGATGTAAGTTGAATATCCAATAAAGAGGATCATTCATCAACTAGCGGTTGCGTATTATTGTTTGGGGGAGGTGCAATTTCGTGGGCATCCAAGAAACAAACTTCCATTACGTACTCAATTATGGAATCAGAGTTTGTTGTAATAGTTGCTGCTGGAAAAGAGGTTGAGTGGCTAAGGAAATTGATTTATGAGATTTCATTTGTGGTCGAAGCTAAATGCACCTATTTGTATCCATTATGCTATTGCAACCACTTTGGCTAAGGCATACATCCAAGTTTATAATGGCAAGTCTAGACGATTAGGTGTTTATACACAATATGATTATAGAATTAATCATGAATTGTGTAATCTTAATCAAGTTTGTGAAAGCGGAACAAGATTTGGCAGACTTGGGGACTTGGCCTTAATACAATAATGAGAGGATCAGGACACACAACTTCATATTTGTGTCATGTTGTATTTTGCTAGACGAGTTTATAAATTTGTATGTATTTTATCTTCACGTATTTAGATGGGTTGAATGGTTCAACTATTATAACACCCTGATTCTCGAGTATTTGAAAAGTTTAAGATACCAAGATGAAAATTCAATCAATTTCGATATTTTAATTTATGTACAAGTTTGGTTTGTTTTAATTATTTTGTGTAAATTCATGGGTTACACTAAATTGTGGGAGGATTGTTGGTAATTTTAGTGTCACCGTAGATTTAAGTGAAATTGGAGTTAATACGAGTGCCAAAGGGGGTTATTAATTGTTTCTAATATAAGTTAGATGGTGCGAGGTGCCCGCTTATATAATATCAATTTGATTATGGAACGGCTTATATAATATCAATTTGATTATGGAACGACAAATGGAGGTTGGAACATCGACAACTTTGTCAATTTTGATATATTGATTTCAAATTATATTTAATGGACAGTTTATGGTAAACTAGTGGTTATGTTAGTTATCGAAACCATTAAATGATTGCATTAAAACCATTAAATGACTACAATTAATTAAATTAAAATACTAAAATTTATTCCTTTGTGACACTCCCATTCGTCATGCTATATAAGATATATAGACTTTCTATGGAAAGGATAGATATACAATTTCTTAATCACTTTTGGCTATCGTGTTTTTTTTAATTAGCATGAAATCGAAGAAGTTAAAACGACAAACACGACAAAGATAACATAAAATAACAACTAGTTTATTTAATTAATACATACTCATACATAACACGACAAACAAATGATAAATTATGTCAATTTCGTGTCGAATTTTGAACATGAACACGACACAGCATCGTGTTTTTAAACTTAACACGAACACAAATTCAAATTTTAGTTTCATCACAATTTCGTTTCGTATTGTGTATTTTTGTATTGGCGTGTCATCAATTGACACCCCTACTAGAGATATGGGTTGGACAGGAAAAATTAACCGCCAAATAACCGTAAATAGTCCAATTTAAACAACCTAGATTCAATCTTAGGAAGATCAGATAGTCACGATAACTCTAAAGTTAGTTTTTTTACCGGTGTCAATAATATATTTAATTTTTGGAAAATTATATATATTTCTTTTTTATTCAATCGTATGTATACAAGGCCGGTAAGTTGATTTTAAATGCCTATATGAAAAATAAAATGCACATAAATATCTGTTTTACAGATAAACATAATTTATTAATACAGACCATCTCTATATATATTAGTGAATAGGATAAAAAAACTTTTCATTTACAAATAATAAACAACGGTAACTAGTGATGGAACTATGATTCCAACGGATTCCTATTATCGACTGGCTAGCGACGGGTTTGCAACGGAAATTTATGTTTATATAATTCTATTTGTCCCCTTGATGATACAAATTTTATACGACCGGCCGTATATGTACAGAAATAAAAGATTTGAAAAGTACCAAAAATGAATCGGATACTCGTATTTATCTGAAAGTCCAGCTTTTTATTTTTAAATGCAATTACCATTTGCATATATAACATTTGTCTTTTCTTAAATAAATATAAACATACTAATAGATTGGTGGGTGCCCAAATATGTACTTGTGGTAATTTTTATGAGGCCTACGTTTTAATCCAATTATATAGTAGTCAAAATATGGGATATTTCCAAATAAAAATTAAACCGTTAGATAAAGTATTTGGACATATCAAGATAAGGATTCTCAACTCAAAACAGAAAAAAGGAAACCCTAATTTCAAATATGTGTAGCCGCACACACGTAATTCCAACTTCAAATTTCCGTCAAAATTTCAAAAATACCCCCAAACGAAATATAAATAATAAAATAAATGGCGCTCTTTTTCATTTTTTTGGCGGGGTAAGCTATAACGTCCAAAAACTTTCAGAACAAAAGGGTAGTTTCGTCATTTCAACATTACCGCGCTCCTAGGGTTTTCTTCGACCTTAAAAATCTTTTCATTTTATTTTGCCGCTACTACTTCTTCGGCTCCTTGTTCTTTCTCTCTTTCTCTCTCCATCTCAAGCTAAGAAGTCTTGAAATATCTCGAGTGATTCGCTATAGCATCGTGAGCTATTCCGCTTTGATCAGCTGTTTGATCATCTGGGTTTTCAATTCCTTTGAAGAAATCGACTTCGATCTCAATCTCAATCTCTCTCGACATTTCTATAGCTTCTAGCTTCTGTTCCACCGTGTTTCAGAACCGAATCACTGGTTTATCTTCAATCATTGCTTGATCAGGCTTTTCACCATCTGGGTGTGGTTTATCCGACTTCAATCGCTGTTCTCCGGTGTGATCACGTGATTTGAAGGTGATCGTGATAAAAACAGCTGAATCGGTGGCTCGATCGATTGATTCAACTGAAGCGATTCATAAATGGGGGATCTAAGCGATAAGGTGAGTGATCATTGATCAAAATCACCATCCATTGCTGAATGATTTCGTGTTTGATTTCAATTGATTATTTTTCTGTTTTTTTTAGGGTTCCGAGTGTGATGATATGATGAACTGCAAAAGCAGCCCAGAAAGAGGCGGATCATCTTCATCCGACGGTGGTAGTCATCTGATCAAAACCTGTGCCGATTGTGGGACCACCAAAACGCCTCTCTGGAGAGGTGGCCCAGCTGGTCCTAAGGTATATATTATTCATGTTTTTAATAATTTTCATTTAATTTCCCCCAAATTATCTTCAATTCTATCAACGAACAAGAATCTTGTTTTAATTCGATTGTTTGATGAATTCTATACAGTCTTTATGCAATGCTTGTGGGATCAGAAGCAGAAAGAAAAGAAGAGCACTTTTGGGTATGCCAAAAGAAGAGAAAAAACCAAAGAAAACCACCATGGCTGCCACGTCAGCTAGCGGAGATAGTCAAACTAGCGGTTTGACCACCAGTAAAGGCAGTAACATGGGTGGTGATTTTTGTTTGAAGAAAAGATTAATGGCGCTTGGTTCAGAAGTGGTGTTACAGAGGCCAAGATCGAGAGTGACAAAACAAAGGAGGAAGATCGGTGAAGAAGAACAAGCTGCAATTTTGTTGATGGCTTTATCTTGTGGTTCTGTTTTTGCTTGATTAATTTAATATTAATAAATTGAAAACAAAAACAGGGTTTGTTTTTGTAGAGTTAGGGTTTTACTTTTAATGTTTGGGTAATCAAGAATCGAATGATGGAAGAAATCAAGAAGAGTGAATGAAATGTGTAACTTGTTTAGATTTTTGTTTGATTGAAACCTGTGATTTTGTTTCTTCAATTTTGATGATTATGTTTTCGAAGGTTGTGATTATTCTAATATCAATGAGAATATTTAATGTTTGAATTTATTTGAATTCGTTTCATGATTTTGAATTTAACTTGTTTGGAAAATTAATTAGTTTATTACAACTATATTTTATAAAAGTAAATAATTTTATGTAATAAGCATAAGAATTTGGTTATACCAAGATAGTGAGATACATTAATTTCACATTTTCACTACGACTCTAATATAACCATTACTTGGACTTAAGGTAAACAAAATAACTTATAACACTTTGCCAATGAATGTATTCAATTATTCATAGACGATTAGCGCATGTAGTCAAAATATTCCAATGAATGTAACCCAATACTATTGAGTCATTTTATAAAAGTATTATAGGTGTAATATCAACTGTTTTAATTCATAAGTTTTTTTTGAACGACAAATAATCTACTCTTAACATAATCATAATTCCACATATGTTTCAAACGGAACTTAAACCTTTGACATAAAAAAAAGGATAACACTAGATACTAATATTTGAGTTATTTATTTATGAGAGAGAGAGAATAATTAAGATATTTAATTTTTCTTAAAGAGAAATCCAATATCCTCTTATCTTTTGTTGCTATAAATCTTCGTACTTATTAGATTAAGTGTCAAAAAATATATATATATATATTAAAAGAGAGAATTAGTGGATTACATATGTCATTGTTTTAAAAGAATAGAAAGATAAATAGAAACAAAAGGTAATTAACATATTAAATTTTTCTAAAATAAATGGTATAATTTAGCTTTTTTATTTTTAAAGTGTAATCTAGCAAGTTTGAATAATTGAATTATAGTCGAATTTAGCATGTTCTAAATGTTCTAAAGTATAGACAACTAAAAACCTTAAGATGATTCAATTGATACATTTGTAAAACCTTTGGGCCCAGTTTAACACAGTTTAAACTTACAAGACCAAATAGCAACAAATTAAATACTTCCATGCTCATTTATAATAATATATTTCGAAAAAGGTTAGTGTTTGCTTTGTTGTTTAAAGATTTAGGTACAATTACTTATGTGGAAGTTACATTTAAGTTCATTATGTGAAGAATCAATAGAATATCGGTAACGTTTGGCTATTTTTTAGTTTGGTTGGGAGTTGTAAAAAACCATCCTCTTGCTATGTATTTTGTTTATGATGGGCTATCGCGATAAGGTTACTGTGAAAACCTTGTTGGTTGGTGGCAGCGACGTTGGAGTCTTTATTCTAACGTTTTGTTCCCAAGTTCACTAAAGGGAAGAAAAGAAAAGAAAAGAAAGGTAATGATCTTCCTTTCATTTCTCTCCGATTCCTCTCAATTTGGGAGGACAATTTCTAAGGAAGATTAACATAAATCTTCCTTTCCTTTTTTCATCTTCTTTCCGATAAATAAACTCAGGAGCAATGATCTTTTCTAATCTTCTCACTTCATTTCTTTTCTCTCCTTAAATGAAACTCTGAAGCAATGCGTAAAGGTTGAACATCATAATGGAATAGTTCAAATTTCACAAGGGCACCTTGGTTAACCATTGAATGTTTTCTAGTTTGTTAAGTCAAATTAATGTATAATATGAAATCTTTAATGTGATATTATCCTAAGTAAAATCCATACAAATAAAGATTTGTGAAAGTGATTAACAACCGAGCGACGTAATCTTATGTGGGTTCTTGTGAGTATTCGAAAACTAGGATGTATGTTAATATAAGGGACACAAAAAATATTGAGCGTTATATGAACATCCACTATTACATGTTTATGAATAAAGATTACTGTATATCAAATTAATGAAGAGTTGTATGGTAAAAGTTCATTTATGTAACTTTTATGAGATACATATGTAATAACATACATGTGACAGGAAGATCGATGAGATGATTAGAAAGGTAAAACACAACGTTTGTTCCGAAGTGTTAGTTGACGGAACAACATGCTTTTATAGGGTGATCATGAATAAAAAAGAACGATGTGCATGTGTTATAATGATCTAAGTTTTTTTAAACATCCAAATTTATTGTTATCAAATCAAAGAAGAGTTGTATGGTAAAAGTTCATTTATGTAACTTTTATGAGATACATATGTAATAACATACATGTGACAGGAAGATCCATGAGATGATTAGAAAGGTAAAACACAACGTTTGTTCCGAAGTGTTAGCTGATGGAACAACATGCTTTCATAGGGTGATCATGAATAAAAAAGAACGATGTGCATGTGTTATAATGATCTAAGTTTTTTAAACATCCAAATTTATTGTTAAAAGGCTACCAAAAAACTAGGTGTGAAAGAAAAAAACACCAACAACAATTTAACCAACATCAGAGATGTTTAAGGACAACAAACCCAATCAATCCATGAGGAAAATATATTTTTGCTTCTTTTTCCAATCCACAAAAAGATAAATCCCGAGATTCATCCGCTATCTTTCCCACCATTTTAGATTTCTTCAAGATTATATATAACCGTCATTCATCACAAAAGTGTTAGAATGGTAAAGTTAAGATCAATATATTTGGGTGCATGCAAGTGCATGTATGTAAATGTAACTTATACACAATGATGATAACATTACTTGACTAGTGCTTTTTGGGTGTATATTTTCATTTGAGATGTTACAAATTGAAGTGTTACAAATTGATGTAGTTAATGATGGATACCATTACATATATCATATGCTTGAAAAATACTACTTTGTTCTGTTAAAATATTGTTATATGAATTGTACTTGTTGAAGTTAGGGTGTGAACAATAACTACAAACTAAAGTAATATATTTTATCATAAGCAACTATTTAAATAAGCGATGACAACAAAAGGGCCACTGTGATAGTGGTATTAGGAGTCGACAAATATTTAATAATCAGTAAAAAAAATTAAACGTTCAGGTCTTGTTTTGGATGAAATTTGTATTTTAGGAGTAGAGTAGAAATTATGTATAAATCGTTCAAGAAAAATGTTAACAATAATCTAAAGTAAAAAACAATAACTAGTTTTTATGGTTTCATCATTCAGTTATCAAATTAACTATTTTCTAATTAAGAAATGCATTTTTAATTAGTATATTCCACTCATTATTTTGCCAACCAACTTTAAAAGTTTCGATACAAGAAAGTTGATAAGAAAATTACATAACATGGGTAGATTTGTTAATGGAATGCATTTTGATCCTGATTCGCTCCAAACCTACAAAAATTTTGCTGATTTGAATCTTAGATTTTGATCCGTTTACGATCCATAACCGTTAACCATTTTATTAAATAGATTAGGTATGAATCATTGTCGATTCGCCCCACTAACACCCACTATTTATATATATATACACACACACACACACACACACACATATATATATATATATATATATATATATATATATATATATA